AATGTGACGGGTGATAAAAGCATTAGAGCAGTCAATGTGACGGGTGATAAAAGCATTACAGCAGTCAATGTGACGGGTGATAAAAGCATTAGAGCAGTCAATGTGACGGGTGATAAAAGCATTACAGTAGTCAATGTGACGGGTGATAAAAGCATTAGAGCAGTCAATGTGACGGGTGATAAAAGCATTAGAGCAGTCAATGTGACGGGTGATAAAAGCATTAGAGCAGTCAATGTGACGGGTGATAAAAGCATTACAGCAGTCAATGTGACGGGTGATAAAAGCATTAGAGCAGTCAATGTGACGGGTGATAAAAGCATTACAGCAGTCAATGTGACGGGTGATAAAAGCATTACAGTAGTCAATGTGACGGGTGATAAAAGCATTAGAGCAGTCAATGTGACGGGTGATAAAAGCATTAGAGCAGTCAATGTGACGGGTGATAAAAGCATTACAGCAGTCAATGTGACGGGTGATAAAAGCATTAGAGTAGTCAATGTGACGGGTGATAAAAGCATTAGAGCAGTCAATGTGACGGGTGATAAAAGCATTAGAGCAGTCAATGTGACGGGTGATAAAAGCATTAGAGCAGTCAATGTGACGGGTGATAAAAGCATTACAGCAGTCAATGTGACGGGTGATAAAAGCATTAGTGTCTCGGTGTTGACCCGAGAGAGAATTGGGCGGACTCTGGCGATGTTCTTTAAATGATAAAAACCTATTTGAAGGCAGCACAGTGACTGAGTGGTTAGCACTCTCGCCTCTCAGCAAGAAGGTCCTGGGTTCGAATCCTGGTCAGAACAGGGTCTTTCTGAGTGGAGTTTGCATGTTCTCCCTGTGCCTGTGTAGGATTCCTCCAGGTACTCTGGTTTGCCCTACCACTAAAAACATGCTCACAAGGTTAAATCACGTGAGCCACGTGAGTAGTGGAGCAGAGTGGAGGAGCCAGAGAAGGAACTGTCTAAGTTACAAGTCCTACTGCAGGAATGAAAATATGAAACACTCCCTGTTCAGTGGGCGGGCTTCTCACCAAATGTATTCATACACCTGTCACAGAAGAGGTCTGAACCAGGTCTGAACCAGGTCTGAACCAGGTCTGAACCATGTCTGCAGTCAGCTCTCTCTGGGCTCCTCTGCTCCTCTTCATCTCAGGTAAATGTATCTTCATCATCATCATTTGTTCATCCAAACTCAGACCAAGCCAAAACCCAGACCCAGACCCGAACCAAGACCCAGACTCCTCTGTTTTTACCTGATGTTTGTGTTTCAGGGGTTGGAGCTATGGTGGAACTGGGTAAGTGATTTTTCTCACGTTTATGATTCAATTAGAGCAGAAATTAAAGCTGAGATACCTAATCTTCAGACCATAACAATAGACCTATAGATAAACCCATGGTACTTGCCCCTGGCTCTAAAACTTTTGTCGCTAGTTTTGTAATTGTTTATTTCTGGACCTCAGCTTTAAACATGTGTTCTCTATGAGACTAAAGTTAGGGACCTCAGCTTTAAACATGTGTTCTCTATGAGACTAAAGTTAGGGACCTCAGCTTTAAACATGTGTTCTCTATGAGACTAAAGTTAGGGACCTCAGCTTTAAACATGTGTTCTCTATGAGACTAAAGTTAGGGACCTCAGCTTTAAACATGTGTTCTCTATGAGACTAAAGTTAGGGACCTCAGCTTTAAACATGTGTTCTCTATGAGACTAAAGTTAGGGACCTCAGCTTTAAACATGTGTTCTCTATGAGACTAAAGTTAGGGACCTCAGCTTTAAACATGTGTTCTCTATGAGACTAAAGTTAGGGACCTCAGCTTTAAACATGTGTTCTCTATGAGACTAAAGTTAGGGACCTCAGCTTTAAACATGTGTTATTTATGAGACTAATTTTTTTTATTTTTTTTTATTTAATCTTTAATTCAGACACACAAAGGGTCCATATAAAACAAAAGAGAACAAAAAACACACAAACATTCAATATTTACACAATTCTATAAAGACAGTTTCTCCAATGCCTCCAGAGATCAGAGATCAGAGGTGTGCCTAACACTGCTCTGTACAGTACAAACATTATTACATTTCAAGAGTCCTCCGAGCGTTTCATTAACTTATAAATACAGTTTGTGATCACAGCAGTCAGAGCGGGGACATTATTAAAAACAAACAGTGAGCTGGCACTAGTCCAACGAGGGACTCTCAGTAAAATTCTAAGTGCATCATTATATGCAACCTGCAGCTTCTTAAACTTACTCTTACTGTATCTGCACCACAGGGGGCAGTATAGAGCGGAGTGCAGTAGGCTTTAAACAAAGTTATTTCTCTTTACACATGTGAAATCTCCGAGCCAAAGTGTTAGCCTGTCCGTACAGCTTACAGTGCTGCCTCTGAATGTCATCATCATCACTGAGGTCACTCCTGATGACGTGCCCCAGGTATTTAACCTTCTCTACATTCAGAAGCTCCACACCAGACAAATAAATGGCACGAAAAGAGGTCTTCAGGTGTTCTTTGGTCCTCACCACCATAACTACTGACTTCTTAGAGTTAAACTTAATGTCATACTGTTCCCCATATTCTGTGCAGACTCTCAGCAGCTGCTGCAGCCCTGCAGCGTAGGGGACATGACCAGATCATCTGCATAAAGAAGGTGGTTCAAGAGTCTGTCTCCAATAGAGCAGCTGGTCTTACACTGCCTTAACTTTACAGATAACTCATCCATATAAACATTAAAAAGCATAGGTGACAGGATTCCACCCTGTCTCACTCCGTTTGACACATGACACGGTTCTGACACTGCCGTTCCCCATTTAACCTGCATGGTTTGGTGCGAGTACCAGAAATGGAGACGAACTAAATATGCAGGGACCCCTCTTTGCATCAAGCTGAGGTAAAGTTAGGGACCTCAGCTTTAAACATGTGTTCTCTATGAGACTAAAGTTAGGGACCTCAGCTTTAAACATGTGTTATTTATGAGACTAAAGTTAGGGACCTCAGCTTTAAACATGTGTTCTCTATGAGACTAAAGTTAGGGACCTCAGCTTTAAACATGTGTTCTCTATGAGACTAAAGTTAGGGACCTCAGCTTTAAACATGTGTTCTCTATGAGACTAAAGTTAGGGACCTCAGCTTTAAACATGTGTTCTCTATGAGACTAAAGTTAGGGACCTCAGCTTTACACATGTGTTCTCTATGAGACTAAAGTTAGGGACCTCAGCTTTAAACATGTGTTCTCTATGAGACTAAAGTTAGGGACCTCAGCTTTAAACATGTGTTCTCTATGAGACTAAAGTTAGGGACCTCAGCTTTAAACATGTGTTCTCTATGAGACTAATGTTTTGTCCCTCTAACACTGAGCTCTCGTGCCTCAGAATGTGGCTCTGCTCCTCTCAACACCAGGACCAGGATCGTGTTACAGCAGTGTTCCTCCTCAGTCACAGACCTGAAACTGTGTTTAGATCCATTCCATTCCATTCCATCTTCTTCCGCTTCATCCGTTGCCGGGTCGCGGGGGCAGCAGTCTAAGCAGAGACGCCCAGACTTCCCTATCCACACACACTTCCTCCAGCTCGTCCGGGGGGACCCCAAGGCGTTCCCAGGCCAGCTGAGAGACATAGTCCCTCCAGCGTGTCCTAGGTCTTCCGCGGGGCCTCCTCCCGGTGGGACGTGCCCGGAACACCTCCCCAGGGAGGCGTCCAAGAGGCATCCGGAACAGATGCCCGAGCCACCTCAACTGGTTCCTCTCGACGTGGAGAAGCAGCGGCTCTACTCCGAGCTCCTCCCGTGTGACTGAGCTCCTCACCCTATCTCTAAGGGAGCAGCCACTCTGCGGAGGAAGCTTATTTCGACCGCTTGTATCCGCGATCTCGTTCTTTCGGTCATTACCCAAAGCTCATGACCATAGGTGAGGGAGGGAACGAAGATTGACCGGTAAATCGAGAGCTTTGCCTTTCGACTCAGCTCCCTCTTCACCACAACGATCCGATACAGCTCTGACTGCAGACGCTGCTCCCTCTTTACCACAACGATCCGATACAGCGACCGCATCACTGCGCACGCTGCACCGATCCGCCTGTCAATCTCACGCTCCATTCTTCCCTCACTCGTGAACAAGACCCCGAGATACTTGAACTCCTCCACTTGAGGAAGGACCTCCCCACCCACCTGCAGAGGGCAAGGCACCTTTTTCCGGTCGAGCACCATGGCCTCGGATTTGGAAGTGCTGATTCTCATCCCATCCAGTACCCCTCCCAAGGACTCCAAGAAGGCCGGGTACTCTGCACTGCTGTAAGGCCCGTAGGCCGTCACAACAGTGAGAGACTTGTGAGAGACGTGTTTAGATCCATCCACGCTCATATCAGGAGCATGTGGCTCTGCCTAGAACAGACATGGACATGGCATTTTCTGCGCTTACGCAGCACCACTCCCTCGATGCCGCCCATTCACACACACAGGGACACGCACGGACATAGAGAAACACACACACACACAGACAGGCATACACACACACCAGGACACACACGCACAGGCACACACAAGAACACACACACGGTCACGCACAGAACACACACATACATACAGTCATAGACACACCTCTGTTCGTCACCTTCACTCATTACATTAAGACAGGGGGGGAACATGCAAACTGAGAAAGGTTGTGTCTGGAGATTAAATTCAACTCAGAACCTTCTTATTGAGGTGTTTTTAAGCCCCGCCCACGCCTGTGATGTAGGCCATGTTTACCTGGCGTCTACACAACAGTGCGTTACTTCCTCATGATTGATCAGATATGACAGGGATGTCAAACTGGTTCCAGAAAGTGAACCTGAAGATAATCATCAGGGTAAAACTGGAGTCTAGTGTGCTCCTGCTGTGGGTGGAACTAAAAACCTCATCCACACTGGCCCTTTGAGGATCGGTTTGACACCCCTGAGATATGGGGCCCCACAAGGGTCGGTCCTCGGTCCACTGCTCCTCTCACCTGATTACACTTGTTTCTCTGCAGGATGTTGCGCATTGGTCCTTTTCACTTCTGTGGAGGTTCTCTCATCAACGACAGATGGATCCTGACTGCGGCTCATTGCACGGAGAGGTCAGAGGTCACACATTACACCTGATGCACTTTCTGAACCTGAACCTCACAACCAAATCCAGAGGGAGACCAGCAAGAGAGACCAGAAGGAGACCAGAGAGAGAGGCTTTCGTATACCCCAGTGATAAGTTCAGAGAACTTTCCTGAGCCTCTGGTCTCTCTTTTTGGTCTGTCTCTCTGGTAGCTCTCTCTGGTCTTACCTAACGTCTGTGGATGGCCCCTGACTCTGGTCTCTGTCCCTGGTCTCTCCTTAGCTCAGGTCTGTCTTTGACTCTGGTCTCTGTCCCTGGTCTCTCCTTAGCTCAGGTCTGTCTTTGACTCTGGTCTCTCCTCAGTCTCAAAGCGTCAGACATCACTGTGTACCTGGGACGCCACACGCAGGAGCAGACCAACCCCAACGAGGTGGTGCGCACCGTGATGCAGATCATCAACCACGCAAAGTATTACGAAGACACGTTTCAGAACGACATCAGCCTCCTGCAGCTCAACGACACTGTGTCCTTCAGCGACTACATCCAACCGGTGTGCCTCGCCGCGCACGGCAACGAGCCCGACAGCGGCACCAACGTGTGGGTCACGGGCTGGGGCAACATCAACAAGGGCGGTCAGCACTAAACACACTGTACCAGAGACTGAATACAGCTGGACAATGCTAACACAGACTGAATACAGATACTGGCATCTGGTACGGCCCTGATGGCCGCCCCGCCCTGCCCATGGGGGACCTCTCACGAGCGGCTTTATCTGAGGCACATGGGCTAGCCCATGTGGGTCAGGTACAGATGCTCAAGAATATGTCACAATGGTGGCATCCCTTTAAGACAAACATGATCCAAGATTATACTAGGTCCTGTCAAATATGTCAAAATTATAACCCATCGCCCTGCTCAGCTGTTTCCCCAGGAAAATTCACACCTGCTGCTTGGCCTGGAGCACATGTTGTGATTGACTTCACAGATATGATTAACAGGTGCGCAGGAAAGCGGTACCTGTTGGTCATCACTGACACCTTTACGGGATGGCCTGAGGCATATCCTGCTGCAAAGGAGGATGCTGCCTCCGTAATCAAAGCCTTAATTCAACATTACATCCCAACGCATGGCTTTCCCCAGTTGATAAGGTCTGACAATGGGACGCATTTCAGGAACAAACACTTACAATTGGTAGAAAAACATCTGGGGCTAAAACATAAATTTGGAACAGTCTACCATCCTCAATCCCAGGGCCAAGTTGAAAGGATGAATCAGACCCTGAAAAGTAAACTCTCTAAAATCCTGGCAACGAGTAAGTTGAATTGGCTACAGGCATTGCCTATTGCCCTGTTGTCAACAAGGCACTCTGTTAACCGCATTCACCATTTCTCCCCATACGAGCTGTTGACAGGGAGGCCTATGCCAGGACCAGGAAACAGGGTGGTGCCTTTCACAAAAGAGGACTCCCCAACACCCCCAGTGCGGGTGTACTGGGAACAATTGAGAGAAATGTTGTCTAGTTTTTCCCATCAGGTTGAAGGAAGTCTCGACCTCTGCGAGAAGGAGGCCTCAGAGGATCCACCAGCCTGGGTCCGTGTGAAGGTGTTCAAAAGGAAGTGGAACGCGCCCCGCTGGACCGGACCCTTTGAAGTGGTGGCCCGCACTCGCAAAGCTGTTCAATTGAAGGAACACGGGAACAAGTGGTTTCATCTCTCTCATACGAGACCATCTGACCCACCCTCGTAACCACGCTCACGGGTTGGGCAGTGACTCACACACACGCTTACACTCCCTCTTAATATGTTGCCTTGGGACAGGGAGCCCTGGCCCACGACCAAGAGAGGGAGAGCCATCCTATGGGCTATTGCTGCAGTTGGTTTGGTCGCGGTCCTGGGAATTTTAACATGGGAAGTGTTAGAAAACACACAGCTAAGAGACAGGGCCAGACTTGTAACACAATCCAGTCTTTGGTCCAATAAGACTGACAGAAATAAAAGATCCATAGGAGAAGGCAGCGTTAGAGACTCCCTACCTACGATTGTGACAGTAAAATGCCCGGTGGGTGCGACAATTACAGCCCACATACCAATGGCAACAATCTTTCCATTATCCTTTCGACCTGACTACACACTCTACCTGTGTTACACTCCGTCTACATGTAAATATGAGAGACATGGAAAAAGCTTTAGAGCATCGGTGGACTGCACCTGTGATGCTTGGGAGTATGTTATATCCAATACAGGTCCTGATTGGGGTTATAATAAAGAACACAGATTGAAGGGACGAGTGATTCTGACTACAGACCACTCACAAACAACGGTGCTAGTCACTGTGAAAAATTGTGGGATTGATGTGAATGGGACTTACGTTATTGGACATTATCCAGGAGACATTAGACAATGGATTTCAATTGCCATACCCGAGGACAAGGAGCTAGACAAGGAGGCCATAGATAGTGAAGTATGGCAAGACAAACAAAACGTACAGGTGACGGCTGACTGGACTGTTTCTGAATTGTTAAAACAAGCAACTGGATATGGGGATAGAAACGCTTGATTGTGGACAGTGGAGCACATGTCAGCGGCTGCTGGCTTTGACGATTGTGTTGTGTGCTCTACTGCACGTCCCACTTTGTATACAGCCCCTGCTCCACTTTTCCCAGAAAATGTAGATAGAATTAATTTCATTTGGTATACTATGCTCCGGCTTGCCAATCACACCAGTGACGCAATAGAGGGATTGGCGGAGCAGCTTGGGGCCACCTCTCTGGTAGCATTTCAAAACAGAGTGGCTCTAGACATGATCTTAGCAGAGAGAGGTGGGGTCTGCAATCTATTTGGTACAGAATGTTGTGTATATATTCCAAATAACACACATCCAGATGGATCAGTTTCCAGGGCTCTGGCTGGTCTCAAAATGCTGTCAGAGCAAATGCATGACGTTTCTGGAGTCCCGGAGAACCCACTGGAGGCGTGGCTGGACAGCATCTTGGGGAGGTGGAAGCATGTAATTTTGTCTGTTATCACAAGCCTTGCGGCCATCTTTGAAATAATAATGGTTGTAGGATGCTGCTGTATACCTTGTATACGTTCTCTTTGTGTTAAAGCTATAGACACTGCTGTTAACCCTGGACTGAGAGGTCAAATGCTTGCATTGGTTGAAGATTCCCCCGTCCCGTCACCCGAGGAAGGTTATTGAAATGTGTGGCCTTTTTAAGAGCGGCCAAGAGAGGGAAATGTTGTATTAAATATAGACTAAAAAGCCGAGGTGACAATGACTGACCCTGATTTGAACTCTGTCTCTTTCCTAAGCAAAAAGACCTGGTCTCCCCTTCTCCCATTGTAGTCCAAAGTGCAGAATATGAGTTAATGATAGTTAATCTGGGGGGCCAAGATCTGCATTCCTAGATTCTGTTAATCCTTTCCGTTGTTTGGAGAAGGAGATGGACCCAGAATCTGGAGGGACAGCCTTGAAGAGCCTCCTGCCTTATCTCAAGGAAGTAATATTTCTATAGAATTAGGGAGGGGTAGTGTGTGTGAATGATTTCTGTTTAGGTCTGGCGAGACGGAGGAGGAGACCTGATGGACCCGTGACCTGAGAGCTGCCTGATACGACACGCCCCTTCTTCCTGCACATTACTTAATGAATAGCTTGAATGTGTTAGTTAGTTTTTTCAGTCCGGATCAGGGTTTAGCTGTGTGACTTGGTGGAGCGCCCAACCAACGTCACACTTTATATAGAGGATATGGATTAGATACTTTTGGTCCGGACAGCTGTTTTAGATTCTTTTTGTATTAGGGAAATAAACCTTTTTGAATTTAACTTTCTGAATCCTGGTCATCTTTATAAGGGATTTTGAACACGTCATTTTTTAATACGATAATACAGATGCTAATGCTAACACAGACTGTATACAGATGCTAATGCTAACACAGACTGTATAAAGATGCTAATGCTAACACAGACTGTATACAGATGGACAATGCTAACACAGCATATACAAGGTCTCACAGAAAGGCACACACCTGTATATATAAGGTCCCACAGAAAGGCACACACCTGTATATATAAGGTCCCACAGAAAGGCACACACCTGTATATATAAGGTCCCACAGAAAGGCACACACCTGTATATATAAGGTCCCACAGAAAGGCACACACCTGTATATATAAGGTCCCACAGAAAGGCACACACCTGTATATATAAGGTCCCACAGAAAGGCACACACCTGTATATGTAAGGTCCCACAGAAAGGCAGACACCTGTATATATAAGGTCCACAGAAAGGCACACACCTGCATACAGTGGGTCCCATTCCGTTTTGTCGCCTTTCACGCGTGAATCACACGTGAGTCTCGTGTGATTCACGCGTCTTTTATTTTCCCCCCTCCCAGTGACGTTGCAATGACCAAAACAACCACCAGGTGGCACTTGTGAGCAGGGTTACATTGGCGAGACATAGTGTCTAAAGCAGACCTGGAGATTTTTATCCATGCATTTGTCTCCAGTAGGTTAGACCAGGGGTTCCCAAAGTTTTTAGCCCGTGACCCCCATCATAAATGCCCTGCTAACCCGCGATTTTCTGTTGTGGATATTAACCACGTTTCATTTTAAAGCAGGTATTATTTATTTGTAGCCTCCAAACACCTTTAGTTTTAGCAAACAACAGCAGGACACGCTTTGTCGCTGCGCATGATGTGAGCTGTGTTACGTGATGATTTTGATTGACGCTGCAATGACTGGGACAAAATTACTAACGTTATTAAAATATATTATAGTCTCCAAACACAATTTAACAAGTAATCAAATCAAATGCTAAATAAATATTTAAGGGCTTTATATTTGCTGAGCAAAATAAGAAAGCATTAAAATAAATAATCACAGTACATTAAAAAAGATAAATATAAAAATACCTCAGTTGTATGCACAGCTAAACAGAACTGTTTTTAACCTGGTTTTAAACCTTGTCAGAGAAGAGGCCTGTCTCACTTTAGCTGTGCTACAACTGAGGGAATTTATATTTATCTTTGTTAATGTACTGTGATTATTTATATTAATGCTTTCTTTTGCTCAGCACTTTGAGTTTCCTTGTGTATGAATTGTGCTACACAAATAACTGATACATACCTGCTACAGAGACATTTGAGCTCAATGACTGCTATAAACGGTTTGATGTCTCTGTTAAACAACATTCAATATTTTATACACTGTAACAAATTTCTGTAAATTTACGCCAACATTTCAACATTAGACAAATGTTATTTTGAAATACAAGTGTAACATGTTAATTTAATCATAGTTTGGTTAAAATACATCTAGTGGTGTATTTTTACCACAATTACGATGTAATTACAAAAAAACTTTATCATACTGTTAATTCACTTTGTAATTATCTAAATTTAACATTACTATGCTGTATTTTTGGAATGCTGGGATATTTTTTTTTTTGCTTAGCAAGCTCCACGTGAGGACAACGTCTCATTTTGTCATCCATTATCATCTGCAATTTTTCGGTAAGTATTGCTTTACAAAGATTACACAAGCAGCACAGGGCGCAAGCAGCCAGGGTTTCATATATATAAATTAGATTCATGTTGTTTACGTCTCTTTATTAACACGTTGTTACGGCGACGGGACCAATC